TAGTGGGAGACAAAAGACGGTCTCCAGAAGGAGCAGAAGTGTCAGGACGCGGTGGCAGCAGAATATCTGGGTTAATAATGGAGGGAGCTGGAGGTGTAGATATAGTATAAAGCTCAGTAAAGAGAAAAGCAACTGGGGAAATATTAGTATTTTGAACAAGTACTTAGAAATTTTTGAACGAAAATTTCAAAAATAAATTTTATTAGTAATTTCAAAAATCAGGGAAAGAGTTGCGTAGATTCTCACACACAACTCACATTTAAGTTTGTATAGAGTTTATATTAAAATTTTTCAAAAGTTGTGTATTACAGGGGTATTTTCAAAATTTTGTTATTCTACATACCCCTATTTTTAACACAACCAGTGATTCAATTTTAATAAAATATATATCATTAGATTTGTCTTGATGAAAGAATTCTAATAATAGTAGAAATGACTTTTTTGTAAGAAATAAGACTTGAACATTGACAATAACAGCTTAAATATTATTCGCAAAAAAAGATTGACAGTTATGCTTTTCTTAAAATGTCTGAGCAGAAGCTCAAAAATTATGTATTAAAGATGAACTTACTGTAAAGCTTATGGCTAAACAGATGTATATTGCAGGAATTATTAAAGATTTTTAATATATAATTTTTATTATAATTATTTTTTTTATGTACTGTATATCTTATCAATTACCAGTATATTTAATTTTACTTTTAATGGTTAATAAGATAATTTATAATAAATTTCATTAATTTCTATTTAGATAATTCACAATATTGTTCAAATATTTTTCCTTCTAAATACTTACATTATTTTTTATTATTAAGTGAAAATATTATATAAATATTGACTAAATTTTTAGAATTCATTAAATCCAGTTTATTAATTACTATTTTAAATGTAACTTTTTTATTTATACTATATCTATCACAATAACAATACTTTATTAGAATTTTGTTTGATTCATATGTTTTTTTAACAGTTATGAATATTTGTAATAGAAATTTGAACTGTTTTCTGATTAATTCAACCAAATAATAGTTGCTAACTTACCACAATTTTCAATAATAATTGGATTCTTAATTATTTTTATTTTTTTTTTTTTTGCTGCAGCACATATAGATCTTTATTAAGATTTTAAAAAAATAAGTTTATACAATACACGTAAAACTAACATAAATCCTAATTTAGTAAAGAACTTTACCACCCGCTAACTTCAGCGAAGCAACCATGTGTGTACTGTCAGTGAAGGACTTAGGTTAGGGGAGTAAATCTGCCTTGTAGGCATTTTTTCTTAGAGAGATCCCCTCTTTCCAGTTTACACCATGAGTGTTCCCAAAAACTCATTAAAGTTGCTTGTCTAAATCTCTTCAAAATCCTACGATTAGTTTCGTCAAAATTTTACTATAGATTTATTATAGTTTAGGCAGAGTTTAAGCAGTTTCAGCATTTATAATAAGTTTAAGCAGTTTCACCTTTCTCCAAAGTTTTGCCAGTTTTTTAATATAACTTTAATATAGTTTTAGCAGAATTTCACTTTTCGGCGAAATGCTATCTTACTTAAACCTTTAGGTTTCGGCAAGCAACCTTAAAACTCACTACTACTGCAGACGAAACCCATTCAAACAAAATGAAGTAAAAGGAGCAAAAACAATAAGTCAGGATAAAAAAAAAAAAATTAAAATAAGGGTAACTAACATAAAATATTAGTATTCTACAGATACGAAGTCTACTATACTGTCTATCACAATTCTACATATAGTCACTAAGGCCAAGCAGTCATCCCATCAGTTCTTAAGCCTTCTTAATAGTAAACGAATTTTGGCCAGTAAAGTGAGCTTTTCAGATTCACTACCGTCCAAACCTTTCTTCATGTTTTTTAGAGTATAGGAAACAAATTTCTTTCCGATAGACTTGCTCATCTTAATCTTGTTATCTGTCGTATTTGGTTTAATCTTATTAGCTAAATCTTAGTTCTGCTTCTGATTACAGCCACTTTTTGATGATCGATTACAACCTTTAGATAGTTGAGGTGAGAAGTACCTAGTCCAAATACCTTCATATTCTTGCAAGTTCAACTTGGTATTCGTGATTTATCTAAATCTGCCTAATTTTTGTAATACGTAATGAGCTTGCAGATACTTTTCTTCTGAATTATCTTAAAAGCTTTGCATTCCAAATGGGATATAGGTGATTAAAAGAAATCTGAAGGATATAGCAATGAAGTAGTGATAGTTCCAGATATACTTCTCAGTGTAATTGATTTTCAAATGCTGTAATATTACGACACAATACCAAATTGCATATTGACGTAACGTAATTTATTTATACTGATGTAATTAATTTGCACTGATGTATTAAATTGTACTGACATAATTAATTTTATATTAGACGTAATTATTCAACAAGCTAAAAATAAAATTTTAAAAAATAATTCTTTGATACCACTCAAAGTATTTACTAATGGCTACAGCAAAATCATTTAAAATAAATATTTATTTTTGCTTTAATAGATCATTTGCTGATAAAAACATCATTGACTGATTCTTTATTCATAACACCATAGCCTTTCTAAGGCTATTCCTATAAAAATAAAGAAAAAAGAAACGTTAGAATAGTTCTTTTAAATTAATTTTACAAAACTCCCTTCTTTACACTTACCTGAGGTTTCCAAGATGTTCCCAAGTCATTCCCTACAAAAATAAAGGAAAAAAAAAATGTTAGAACGTTTCATTAAGTCAAATCACAAAAATTCCCTTTATTCAACTTACCTGAGGTTCTTAAAGACCGTTCCCAAGTCTTTTTTACAAAAATAAAGAAAAAAAAAACTTTAAAATGTTTCTTTTAAATTAATTTTACAAACTCTCTCCTTTCAACTTATCCGAGATTTCTAAGACATTCCTTAGCCATTTCTACAAAAATAAATAAAGAAAAAAAGAAACTTTAAAATGTTTCTTTTAAGTTAATTTCCCAAACTTCCTCCATCAACCTACAAAAATAAAGAAAAAGAAACATTAGAATGTTTTTTACCCAAACTCCTCTTTAAAACTTTACCATTTTTTTATTTTTTCCTAAAATCTAAAAGTACATTTCCTACAAAAAAAAAACCAATCCCATTTTTTTTTAAGAAAAATTCGGTTTAAAAAAACCAAAAAATTGGTGATTAAATAAATATTTTATTTTATTTTTTTTAAAACTGTTTTTTTTTAGTTTTTAATAAACCAAAATTTAAAAAATTTTTTTTTTTATTATTTGGTTAACCAGATTTTTTAAACCAAAAAAAAGATTATCCATTAACAATCAGTGGTAAATCGGTATAAATCATATGACCAAAATCAGCTGATTAATCTGGATAATCTGGGAATGCCGTAATTAATTCAACAGGTTAATTTAATTACAGCATATCAGCATTTTCAAAATTTGTAACCGTAATTATTACGGTATATTATATCAGGTATAATGCTGTAATTAAATCAATTACGCTGAGAAGTATATTTGCAATATTATTTTAATTAATTTAATAAACAGAAAAATGTTGCGAAACATTTTTTCAAAGTAATTATAATTAAAAAATGTTTTTACACCATTTTTTATTATAGGATCAAATTGGATCAGACTAAAATAACTGGTCTGATCTGATTTGATCCTGGATTATTTTTTTAACATAAACCAGACTGAACCAAAATGAACCAATTTTTTAGTCTGATCCTAGGTTACTCCTCAACCTGAACCAATTTGGACCATTTAGAGCTTTATATTATATATATTTTTTACTTAGAATAATAGTAAAAAGCAGTTTATTAATGTAATTATATAACCTAATAATTTTTTTCCAATATGATATATTTATAGTAATCTCAAATATAATTAGTTTAATCTATAATGCTAATCAGAATTATAACTAGTAATTCTGATCAGTACTAAAATTACTATATTTAGTATATTACAAAAAGAACCAAAAAATCATTTAAATCACAAAAATATGTATAGTTAGTTCACTTAAAATAAATCTAATTTAGATCATCTAAAATGCTATTTATAATAACATTAAATATCATTGGAATTTTTTACAAATTTACAAATTTATTTAAAAATACTTTAATGAAGATAATAGATAAAAATGCAATTAGAATTAATTTAAAAAATAACAAAACAATCTATTATTATAAATTACAAATTTAATATAAATTAATATCTAATTATCAATAAACTTATTAACCTATTTTTAATTGACATTATAGAATCTCAATAAAAAATGATGAATGCTGATTAGAAACCATAATTAGGTTAGCTAAGATAAATATGCAGAAAAACTACTTAATTTTATTATATAATATTTCACCATTACCAAATCATTTTTTTTATAGCAAGGTATACCTAATAAATATAATTAGTAAAATACATAAATTTAATGTTTAGGATTAAAAACATAATATACTCCAACATTATTATGTTGAGGAGTTGATGGACTTCCCGGTGACATATGGTGCTGCATAGAAGCCATTGGGTGAGTTTGCATTGGCGTCATATGTCTAGGAGAGACAGAAATTGGATGCATTCCAGAATGAGTATGAGGAGTTTCTTGTGAGGAATAGTTATTAAATATACGTGTCTTGATCATTTCGATAATAGCACGAGATAATAAGATGGCGAGAACAATTGCAATCATGAAAAGCTTTAGTTATAGAAGAAAACGTTATTATTATGAATTATATATTGATCAAGTTTCGGAAAAACAAAGTAATAATTGACACACCATAGTTTTATATGAAAACTGTTCCATTAAATTGTTAATTATTTCACCTAATGCTTCGGCAGAGATTTTTGCCCTATTGTAAAATATTGAGTTAAACACAATTTGGCTGCCAGTTAATACAATTTGAACATAACATTACCTCGCAAGTACCGTCGGATCACGATTCATACATGTAATATTATATAATTAGTAGTATGGATAATAAATAAAATCAAAAAAAAATCAATGGTAACAAATAATTATCTAAAGGATATTTCTCCCATTGAGAACAAACCTTCTCTAACGCTGGGACCCGATCTCCCGGAGTACATCGATTGTCAAGGTAACTTTTTGAACATTCAGATATTGATCTATGCATTTCTTTCGATTTGAATTAAATATTAATAATAAAATTACTAGATTGACACTTTACATTGAATTTTTTTACCTTGCGAATATTCGTCCACTTTAATTTCTATTGCTTGTTGAATTGCCCAAAAAAATCGAAATACGTAATATGAGAATGCTATGATAAAGATTTTTGGTGCCATATCAAGGACGCTGAATTATAAACGAACAGATAAGTAAAATGTCAAATTTATTAGGCCACAATTTGACAATTTCTTACTGATTTATGAGGCGCACAAGATCACAACCTTCTGACTTTGGCTTCTAATATGGCATTGAAATATTATTATTATAGTTTTTCGTTAAAATGATTAATGTAACCATAATAATAACCCTACCTTAATATCACTATTTTCTGTCATATTTATACCTTCTTCAGGAAAATTGAAATGAGTATCTTCACTTGTAAAAGGTGGATTGTATTTTCTCTTTCCTTCTACTCGCTTTATTGCGTTTCCAGATATTGGTCGTACATTCTTTCTGAAATTTGGAGAATTTAAACGTTTCCAAGGGCTTTTAATGGGCTCGGGAAGGGCGAAAAGAAACGGCGGCCCATATCCAAATTTCTTATTGTGTTCTTCTGAAAAAGTAAAATTTGACGATGTAGAAGCATATTGTCCTAAATTGTAATATATTCGGCTTATTAAAATATTTTGAAAAGAACTTATAGTATATATAATTATCTTATAATAATTACGTTTCTTTGGACCATTATCTATTAATTTTTCATTCGAAGTATCGTAAGTTGTGGGTCTCAGTTCTAATTTTACGCGTTTTTCTTTTTCCATCGCAGAAAAATAACAAAAATACCGGTTTGAAAAAATAACTTCAGACACAGTTATAACTTTTTTAAGATACGCTATTTGATGATCACGTGATCAAGCTATATAGGCTAATATCAACAAATTCACCCAATAGAAATCAATCACATGACCACTTTTTAAACTGAAAATTATAGTATTAATTCAATTCATAATTGTTAATACATATGGGCATATTTTTATTATTAGTTTATTGTAGATTAAATTGAAATATTAGAAATTATCAGATTATTTTAATAATATTTTAAAAACTTGTTATATCTTTTTATTATTATTTTTTATTATTATTATTATTATTTTAATTATATTTATTATAATATAATATAAATCATGCTAATTTAAAACATATATTGATTTGGTTATAATAAATTTAACCAATTGATTCTGATAAGTGGTATATCAATAACATATTACTAAATTATTAAGTCTAACCAATTGTTCTTCAAATAAGGTTGCTAAATTCATTTTAGAATTTGATAAAAGTCTAAATCTTTATTAGAACTATTTAAACTATTGAAAAAATGTTTTGACATTGTCTAAACTCAATAATTGTCTAAATTTTTCAACATTGAATAAATCTGGTAACCAATTAAAAAAAGTTACCAATTAGGTAGGTATTTGATTGATCAGTGTTTTACTGATATAGTGCAACAAATGTACACAGTACATTAAATCTTAAATAGTTTTCACAACAAAGCCTTTTATAAACTTATTCAACTTAAACTATCATATAAAGAAAAACTGAAGAAACTAGAAATAGAAGAATAGGAGGAGTATATATATTTTATATTTGTACTTTTCTTTTTTATTAATATTTGAAAATACACTTTGAAAAATAAGTTAGAATAAACTGTGAAAAAAAAGTTAACTGACAAAAGCATGTGAACAATTAATAAATACATCCAATAGCAAGTTCACTATACAATCTACCTCAAATACAAATATGGAAATTATTGAAGAATTAAAACACTAATCAACAGTTGAACCAGAATTCCAAACAAAATATATATAGATTAAATGAAAAATTCAAAATTTACTAAAATCAATAAACAAATATTTTTCATATCTGCTAAGCAAACTTTTATCTAACCCATAAATTTTTTATATTGCTAAGTAACTTATTTTATGATATATATGATTATATAAAATTTTTTTTATAAAATATGTATATAAAAAAAAACTAAAAAAAACAAAAATTTTTGAAATAATGTATAGATAAAGCTATTATTATTTTTTTTGTAATTTTAGATACTTTAGTTAAAAGAAATATTTAAAATTTTCTTAAATGAAGTTGTTCAGCAGTTTGAATTTACTTATATATAAATTTTTATTATAATTGAATAAATATTTATGGATTTATTCATATTTTTTATATAATATCACTAATATGCAAAATTTTTATTTTTAAAATTTTACTGTAAAATTTATCAAAAAAAATATTTTTAAAAAAGAAAAGTTATTTATAAATAGAATGAATTATTTTCATGTGAAAAATTTATTTGTTTATTTATATAATTATACTGCATATAGTCACATCACATTTACCTATACAATAGCAGTATTTTTATTCCTTTCTTTTTTCTTTCAGTTATTTATATATGATATAAACATTTAAACCACTTTTATTTATCAAAATCTTTATAAAAAAAGCATTTTTTATTTAATTTACTTTCTAAATATTCATTTTTTTTTTTCAATTAAAATTAACAGTAAATTTTAATATAATTCCTTATTTTTATTACTTTTAAATTTTTGAAATTTCAAAAGAAATTACAGACAGTTTTGGTTAAATTTTAGAAATATTTATTAACAATTAATATATTTTTTTTTATTTTAAAGACAATTATTTTAATGAAAAGTAACAATAAATATAATGTTCCAAATAGTAAAGGAAGTAGAGTAATTCAGAATAATAATACAAATTATAACGAAAGAGATAATAATTTAATAATTATTGAAAACGTATTACTAGGTAAAAGTTATTATCTTCCTATTATTATTTAACAGATCCATAAATTTTTGTGGCAATTTTATTTATATAACTTTACTTTTTTATATAACTACTTCTATTTTATTGATTATTTTTTATGTAATATATTTTTTTCAAAAGAAATTATCTTAAATATTTTTAATGTTAATAATTTATTATTTAAATAACCATTATTACTTTTTTTGATAATTATTAATGAATTTGTGAATAAATTTTTATTTTAAAAAATATGAAGTTTCATTATTTTGTTATTTTGTAAATGATTAACAAATCTACTAAAAATAAAATTTGATAGAATTAATTTCATTACTGAAAAATTTTAATTATTTCATTAAAATTCATTATTTTTTTTTTAATGTTAATTATTATCTTATATCATTTAATACTATTAAAGGAACAGAATTTATTAAATATAATGAATAATTAAAAATTTACATAGTGAACTCTTTCCACCAATCATATAGACCATTTTTTTATGAAATTTTAGCAATAATATTTTGAAAAAAAATCTATAAAATATGGCTTCTACTGCAACAAATATTACTTCTGGGGATATGAAAATACTTCTCAGTCTTTTTAATGACAAGACATTCCATATTTTATTTGAAAAAATGCTGCAAGTTCTTTGTTTTACTAGCACAATTAGGATAAGTCAAAACCTTTGAAAAAATTGAACCTGCTACATATAAGCATTTAAAGCAACTCAAAACTATATTTAAAGATAAACTACAAGAAGTGGATATTGAAAACTATGACAGCTTTTTGTTTCTTTTTTACACCTTCAAAAATCTTTGGGCTACACTTTTCTATGAGATATCAAAAAGCTTTATAAGAAAATTAAAAGAGGAAATACGAGAGCAATAAATAACAATAACTTCACTTAATAGGAATCCAGCTTCGGTTTGCTAGATGATTATTCAATAGATATAAAAATCATTGAAGAATTCAAATACCAATTTAGGGATAGGAATCGATTCTAAAATTAAGAATCGATTCTAGAATCGACTAATCGCGATTAATCATTTCTCAAGATTCGATTCTGAGATTCAATTTTCAGTTTCGATTAACCGATTCTAATCTATTTTCTGCATCATAAAAATATGATTTGTGGCGCCGTAAGTCATCACATATCTTTTATTTATTATTATTATTATTATTATTATTATTCTATAACTCTTTATTAGTATTAGTCATCCAAAATACAAATACAACTAGTCCCACTAATAATTATCCTATCTAAAAATAACCTAAATCTAAATTCCTACCCTATAATGATAATAAAACAACCGAAATAAAAAAATTATTTAATTAATCACATGACACCCTCTGATCAATTTTCTTTTTAACGTTAAGATTTTTGAAAAAGAAAATATTTCTATCCACAGTATTATAGTTATCCAAAATACAAATACAACTAGGGAAATTACACTCCCACTAATAATTATCCTATCTAAAAATAACCTAAATCTAAAACTCCTACCCTATAATGATAATAAAACAACCAAAATAAAAAATTATTTAATTAATCACATGACACCCTCTGATCAATTTTCTCTTACCTTTAACGTTAAGATTTTTGAAAAAGAAAATATTTCTATCTACAACTACGGAGAGAAAAAAACTTTACAAACAAAATACACTAATAATTTTACCCTCAATCATCCTTGCCCTAATGTATTAAATTTATACCTGTCTGGACAATCCTCACTGAAGATAATTCTTTTGCTTTTATTATCAGCATTTAAACGATCCCTATACAATTTGTTATTTTTATTTATCATCAAATATTATTAATTATTTATTTTAAAGATATTTATTTATTTTATTTATTTATCAAAAATACATAATACAAAAAATGTCATTGTTAAAAATATATATCAGATATGTTTTTGTCAAAACAAAAAACAATAAAAATTATAAATTTTGAAAAAATATTTGTCAAAAAAATAAAACTGAAGCTTACTCAGCTTCCCTAAATATATCAACATAGTTTCTATTTCTTTTTAAAAACATAAGCTGGTTGATTAAAAATGAATTTAAACGAGTTCTTTGAGGAGTAATCAAATTTTTAGCATCTGAAAAGAGCCTTTCTGAAGGAACTGAAGTAGCTGGTATAGAAAGGTATTTCATTGCTATTTGATGTAAAATTGGATATTGATTTTTATTTGTAAACCACCATGAAAAGGAATCATATTCTTAAAGAGCAGGTAACTCTGTCACATTGAGATAATGCTGAAATTCGTCCTTTATTGGTGCAGTAATTTTAGCATTTTTCTTTTTCCAAAAATTTCCCATTGTTGTTGATTTATTTGTATCATTATGATCAGGCAATTTAGCTGTGTTATCTTGTTTGAGAATCTCATATTCTTCTTTTAATTGATTAATAATTTGATTACATGTTTCTTGAGAATTAATAAAATCTAAACTTTTAAAACGAGGGTCAAAAAATATCCCTTTAAGCACAAAATTTGAGGAAAATCCCATCTTACTATTATATCTTCTAAAATAGCATTTTGACACTCTGATGCCTCACTAGTT